GGCCTGTCCAAGAGGGCATTGGGCCTCAGGCGGGATGCAAGGACGCTATGGAAGGCAGCACAGTTCACGCCTTGGGATGTAGGGATTCCAATGAAGGTCTTTTAGATGTCAGTTGGGGGTAGGGTGGGGGCTCTATAACTTTAAGGTCCTTACAGACAAATTTGACAACTGTTGTGACACACAGCAAACGATGTCATAAAACGACCGTTCTTTCAGTGGCAGGTACTGGACACCAGGTTTCCTTCATTCTTGCCTCTTGTGTGGTTTTTCAGCCCTCTGTAAGGTAACTACTAACATCTCTACGTGCAGACGAGGGAAACAAACTCACCAGGAGGAAATGGGATTAGCTCAGACCCAGAGGGCTCAGAGCAGAATACAAGCTCTCGGCCACTCAGCGGCTGCTTGCCTGCCTTCTTGTGGAGTGTCTGAAGGAGAAGGAGGGGATGAAACAGAACAAAAGACAGACACCTTGTAACTAGAAAGGAGACTTCTCCAGGTCCCTGGGGAAAAGATCATGGGCTCGGGAGAAAATTAGACCTTGGGAAAATACGGACCAAGTAATGATATCAGGAAGGAATGTTCTTGAAAGCTGAGGTTGGAAACCTTCCCTCAGCCTGAGTATTTTTGCCACGTGAATCATCCACACCCAGATGGCCCTTACTATTTAAGTCAGGGTCCCACTGCTGCCCTCAGCAAGACTGGCGTGAGAATATGCTGCTCAGGGCTGACTGGGCAACGGCAGGGAACGAGCCAGAATGACAGGGCAGCCACGTTCCTAAGCAACAGATTATAGGCAACCTGCCCAGGGTCTGAGCAGCGCCAGCAGCTGCTCCGGGCCACCACAAGTTCCCAAGCACTTATTGTGGCCATGATTGGAGCGGGGTCACAGTCACGTGCACAAGATAAATGTAATGTGGTGGGGGCCACAGGTGATGTTCTCAAATAATGCCATCTGGGTTGGTGGGCACAGGCTACAAGGGAAGAGGTTGCCGGGCCAAAGAAGAAGAAGAAGAAGAAGAAGAAGAGTCTTATATACGTGCAGAGCATTTGACTTTGCAAAATCATTTCGTCATCTGGAGCGCATCTGAATTTATCACACACCCTGGAAGGTGGCGCACAGAGAAGTTCATTAACATATGCAAGATCACAGAGCAAGTCCACGGCAGAACCAGGCCTTGCCCCTGTGTCTGGTGGGTCCAAGGCAGTTCAAGCACTGGCGCCTCAACCTGACAAACGTTTGGAAGAGTGAGGAGACTACACATAGCACAATGGGACACTCCAAGGGGAAAAGGATCGTGTTTTCCCTCTCCACCGCTGTAGAGCCAAAACGGACAGCACAACAGTCCATTTCCAAACACGTGGCACTTTGTGAACTTTGCCAAAGTGTTTCCACCCTCACCTGTTGCTTCGCAATATGCCTAGAAGGGCAAGTAGGGAAGTGACTGCTGGTGATTTACAGGTAAGGACTTTTAGGTTCATGGTGGTAAAGAAACTTGCCCAAGGTTGCACCCAGCTGGTGAGATCTCGCCAGAGTCCTCACTTGTGCTGGTATTTCTAGTCCCGTGCTTCTCCCCTGACCCCAGGTCTGGAAGCATTTAGCTGTGGTCAAGAGACTGAAAAGTGGTCACAAGGCTGTGGTTCTACTCGCTAGACAAGAAATGTCCAAACCAGTGGCTCCCTCCCTGTCTGCCCTGGCCGTCTCCTGTTCCCCACAGCTTGGGTCCCTGGCCCCACCCCTATGGCTACCCCACGCAGCCTCTCTGTAGCAAGGCAAGCAGCAAAACAACCGCCCTGGCCCTTCACCCAGCTGCGCCTACTGAGTCAGGACCCTGCCGCTTGGCTCTGCCTGCCAGGCTCACATGATGCCCCTGGAATGGTCCCGCCACGCCAGATGCAGCTGCACCGTCCCGGGAAGGCCTCTGGAGGCTTCCATGTTGCAACCATCGCTTTGGGGCCCACCTTGTAGTTGCTGAGTCAGGACCTGGCTTCACTGTCCTGTCTGTCTGCTTACACTTTCTGATGCCTTATAACACTCGGTCACTGAGCTGGACATCCTGCCTGCTAGCCGAAGGCCTGGGGTCCGAGTGCCCGTGGACAAATCTCTGGAGGACAATGACCCCCCCTCCTTGTACTGGTCACTGTCTGTATTTTCCTCCACAGGGCTCGACCACCTGCCTGGAAATCCAGCTCTTGGGGTGGATGCCCTTGCTTTGGGCCTGCACCCTGAGAACCAGTCTTCTCCAGCAGTTCCCAACCTGTGGGTCACGAACTCTTTGGAGGTCAAATAACCCTCCCACAGGGGTTGCACGAGTCATAACAGTTGCAAAATGACAGTAGCAACGAAGACAATGTTCTGGTTGGGGGTCACCACCACATGAGGAACTGCATTAAAGGGTCGCAGCATTAGGAAAGTTGAGAACCACTGTGTTAGACAAATGCCCCAACCACTAATGAGGCCACCTGGTTCCTTCCTTTCTCCTCTCATCCCAGGCTACCATTGCCTTCCTGCCACAGTCTCTCAGGCGAGGTACTGCCAGCCTTTCCTTAACTGCTCTCCCAAGCCGGACAGCCAGCAAACACCAAGTTTGTAAAGTTCAAACGTGAGTTGTGCCGATGCTGGTCCAATGGGTGTGGCTCTCACATCCCAGGGACCACCACAGTATGAGGAAGGATTTTATCTCTGGGCTGCACAACTCTCCACCTGTCCCCTCCGCTCTCAGTTCACAGGCTGGGGGCATCTGTGGAGATGGTGACTAGGTAGCATTTGGGGACACCCGTGTGGTAGGATGAGGTGCTAACGCCATTGCTATCCCTGCTAAGATTAGGTGGAGACCTGGAAAGAGTCCAAACCATCACAGACAGAATGATGAGCCAAGAGTGCCCATCTACAATGACATCTGATGCAGCAGGGCCCATCAACATGGACAGACCTTTGAAAACTATAGGTCGTGGCAGCAGTGTGGCCAAGGACGGCATGCTTTATAACAGCATTTTTATAAAGCTCCCAAATAGCAGAACAATATATTGTTTAGGAACACGCTGGCGCGTAACAAAAGTCATTCTTCAAAGGCAAAGGGTAAGTGGACAATTCAGGAGACTGTTCCCTCTGGGGGTAGGTAGGGAAAGGGCTCAGCAGAGAGGCACACCAACTGTAGATCTTAGTTGGATGTGGGTTTAGGATGCTGACTTTGCTACCAGCCCCACCGCTCACATGGATGCCCCATGCATTCTTTGATCCGCTTCTACAAACTCACTTTGAAAGATTGGATGGAGAGGGTTTCAGTGAGTCCCTTCCTCATCATCTCCTCACAAGGACATGATGGATCTGCCTCCTGCATGGGCTCCAGGCGCGCTAGCCATCTCCTCCTCTGACAGTCAAATGCCCGGACGAATGCGCTGCCAGCACTCCCCATTTCCTTGCAGCCCACACTCTGCCCAGTCTATAACCAGGTCCCGGGCCCAGCACACTGGTGGAGATCATGCTCACTAAGGCCCCCGTAAGCTCCTTGATCAGAAAACACATGGGGTGGGTTCAGCCTTGGTCTGGTTTGGCATCTCTGCAGCACTTGGCAGAGCTGGTCCCACCTGAAGTCCCTTGGCACCTAGCTCACTCATCTCCTGATGTGCTGTCTATGTCTGAAGCCAATTCTTCTCCACTTCTTTAGCTGCCTCTCCTTCCTGTGCCTGTCTCTGGCTTATATGGTGGTGCCCACCAGGGTCTCCCTGGGCTTCTTCTCACTCTACAGCTTCTCATGCCTTTGGTCACCCTGTGGACGCTGATGAGTTCCAGCCTTGCTGCCTCGCTCTGGAACTCGAGCCCAGATATGCAATAGTGCACACACTGCCTCCACCTGAGTATCACGCAGGCCCTGCAGACATACACAGGGTCCCAACTCATTGGCCTGGCCTTCTTCCCCTGGTCTCAATCCATCCGTCAAAGTGCCAGTCATCTCTGAGTCTACTCCTTCCCTCACTGTGGTCATTCTGCTCCTGCCTGGCCCATCCACTCCCTACATCTGTCCATTCCCTCCATCTCCACCAAGACATTCCGAAGGCAAGCCAACATCCTCGTTTGCTTTGATTGAAGAAACGGCCTCATTTGTGACCACCTGATCTTCAACCTTATCTGAATCCTTTGTCCCTCTGCCTATCGAGTTTGTTTTCTGTGACATGCAGATCTGAATACATCAGTCCCCTGCTTTAAAATCCTCCAGGGTCTCTAACTGCCCTCGGGTGGCTCCATAAATTGCACCCCCATCCAACTTCTCCAGCCTCATCTCTCCTGTCCCTTCACCTTTCTGTCTCAAGGCCAACCCTCCAACCATACGGAACCTCTCTCAGTTCCTTGCACATACTGTTCCCCCTGTAGACACACACCTGTACCCACACCTGTACCCACATGCCTGGTCCTCTAACTCTTATTTCAGGTTCCAGTTAAACTCCCGCTTCTTCTGGGAAATCTTCCCTGACCACCACCCCACCCGGAAACTATGAGAAGGCCCCACAGTCTCACAGTCCCCAGAACGCCTCCTATTGAAGTACCTAGCACACTTGATATTACTGGCTTCTTACATTATTTGTCTCCCATAATAGGCTCAATGCATCAGCCAGCAAGGACTTGATTTACCAAATGCTTTCTCCTTTGCATCTCAGACAGTGCCTGGCCCCTCCTAGGCAGGTGGTAAAAAATGATGAATGAGTAAATGAATGGCAGGCGGTGTGATTTACATATGTTAGTTCATTTCATTCTTACAAGGATCATTTACGGTAGGGACTATTCGTCTCCTTTAACAAGTGAGAAAAGGGAAATACATTATCCCCAATCACACTGCTACCAAGTAGAAAACCCAGAGTGAGACACAGGTTTAACACCCATGCTGGGAAATGTCCCTCTTCTCCTCTGGCCATCCCATCCCCGCACCTCATCCCACATGAGTCCAGGGGGTCCCCATGGGTCGAGTCAAGGTTGGGAAGTCTGGCTCAGAACTGGCACTGGTTACCTGGAAGCACGTGGGCCCCGGCCTTCCTGCTGGAATGTCCGACTGGTAGAACACTTTGAGCTCTGGAGTCAGGGCAATGACAGTCTTAATCACCAAGGAGATGATGTCCGACCAGACCTTCTTGATGTCGACACCTTTAGCAGACAACCTACAAAGGATGCTGGAGAAAGTCCTTTTGCTGCCTGTGCTCGCACTGTCCGAATGGACAAAGTTGCTGCTGTGGACGTTCAGGGAGTAGTTGGTTAGGTGCATAAAGATGTGGTGGAGGTTTTTGGACGTGGGCTCCTGATATGGCTCGGTGCAAAATCTAGAGAGTCCATCTTTGGCTATATAAATCTCTAAGGGCTCTAAGGACTTGAGTAAGACATACAGACGAATATCAAACTTCAGCCTGTCGATCAGGAGAGGTTTGCAAATGTACTCCTGGACCACAGCCGGCCTGCTCTGGAGGTTGCCTGCCAGGCGGATGTCCCTGGGGTCTTTAATGAGGTAGATTCCATCACCCTGACATCCACCGTCGGGTTTCACAATAAAGGTGGGCTTCCAAGAGGGGTTGCCATCTTTCACCATGCGAACCTGGGGGAGAGAAAAAGAATGGTTAGCATGCGTCCTTGTCTTCTCTGAGCCCTCCGTCCCTCCAACATAAAGCAGGACCTTCACACGGTTCAGGGAATGAGTGGCAAACTGACCCCAGCCCGTCGGAGAACTCACTGAGTGAGCATCTTCCACGGAAGTGATGCTGGACGCGGCTCTGACAAAGACACACAGAACGGTCCTCAACCTTGCTCCCAGAAGGGATAGGTGGAGCATGGAGAGGCTTGCGGTCACCAGGCCCGGGTTCAGATCCCGTTTCGACCCTGAGAAGCTCTCACCTTGAGCAGGTCATTTCACCAGTAAGAACACTCAGTCCCATTTGTGAGGCACGTTATAGAAGTGCCCTCATCTACTCCTCACGGAGAGCGCGTCTATGCCCTTTTTGATGACACTGGAAATGGGGCAGGGACAGGCCGTTGCTAGCTGCATCGGTGGGGGAGCCAGACTTCTTGGGTTCCAATCCTGTCCCTGCTCCTCACTGTGACCTTGAGCAAATCCCCTAAGTTCTCGCAGCCTGCCGCATCTTTAGAATGGGAGTCGTCAGAGCGCCTGCCTCATAGAGTGTTCTGAGGCTTTGAGGATTAAGTGAGAGAATAAATGCGGGGGGGCGGCACACGCAGAAAGGCAGGCATAAAGGCCAGTTACTGCCGAGGCGACAAGATAAAAGAACTTGTCCGCTAAGTGAAGGCAGATTTGGAGCCAGAATCTAGAGCCTCGCCCGGCACTGTCCTCTCGAAGCCGCCATGTCTCAGTATGTCTGCGTTTTTAACATGGGGGAATCTAAGAACCTACCCTCGTGCTAGTCTGTCATTTAGGGGTGCTATGAGTAGGAACTGAGTGAGTGGCAGTGGGTTTTGGTTTACAGGGATCCTTAGGTTAGACAGTCGCTAGGCTATCCCCGTAACCATCAGCTGTCATAGGCAAGGTCGGCAATGAAATGCTTACTGTGTGTCAGGTGCTGCTTATGTCCTTTCATATACAGCTAGTTCCCACACGACAACATATTTGCATTATGAATCTCTTAATGTGCTGTTATTTGGCATAGTGGTTACATGGTGGGCTGCAAACCACAAAGTCAACAGTTCGAAATCACCAGCTGGATCTACAGGAGACTTTCTACTCCTGTAAAGAGCTACAGTCGTAGAACCCCACAGGGACCCTATGCTATAGGGTCGCTATGAGTCAGAGTTGACTTAAAAGTAGTGTTTTTTAGCATTAATAGTCTGAATAAATATGTTAAAATATATTTCCAAGTTTATATGTAGTGTTTCCAAACCCAAAGACAAATAAAGATCAGATTTACGCTGATAATAAAAAGCAACAATAATGAAAACTTAAGAAAAAAAGGAAAAAGACCCTACGCCCACTGAGTTGCTGTGAACAATAAATACATGAGCATGTGTACAGGGTCAACTTTTAGTTTTATAACCCACCACCATTGAGTCCACGCGGACACCCGGACCCTACCCGGGGTTTTCCAAGGCTCTACATCTTGGTGGAAGCAGGCCGTCTCATCGTGCCCGAGAAGCAGCTGGTGGGTTTGAACAGCCAACCTTGTTGTTCGCAGCCCAACGCTTACCAGAGAGCGCTACTAGAGCTCCTTAAAAATGGAGTTAGCGCCCAGAAAAGGGTAGCTTGCAGAGTCTCCATCCTGGATGAAGTTCATCGAGTAAGGGGCCATCCTTCCAGTTGGCTGAGATCGTTTTTTTGAAAACTGGATTCTGTCACTTGCCATGTTTGCTCTCCTCCCAGCTTCAGGTCACTGGGACATTTACATAATTATCTGGGGCACTTGACCAGTCCAGACAGCCGGTCTGGAGCTATGGGTCTGCATAATTCATGCACTCCTCCTTCCCCACACAGCAGATCCTTGGTGCAGCTCTGGAGAAGGGATGAACTGCCCCAGCAGAGAAGGAGGTTTTCCGTGTGGGAGAGGAGTGGAAGGAAATGTAAGGGTGGATTTGAAAGAGGGAGCAGCCCCCCACAGCTCCCAGGAACCTGGCCTTCCTTTCTTGCCTCCGTAATTCAGAGAAGTGCCCTGGCAGCTGGGGAACATGGTGTGTCCCTGTACGTGACTCACCTCTGCCCTGCCCCTTTGCTGTGTAAGCCCAACTCAGGACACCTGCAGTCTGGGTGTTACTTATCTCTTTGGCCAGCCTATATTTCTAAGTGAAGCTTTTGCCAATTCCTTGAGCACTATCGGTTACTCTGGGCTTGTAAAAGATCTTTAACAATGGAGAAACACTTAAAGCCTTAATAATGGTCCACATCAATTGTTTCCCCTTGTCAGCAGGATTCGAGAATGAAACTTCACAAGAGATCGATGAAAGCTTTCCTGGGCCCTCCACCACCGAGCCTTTCTTGTAACTGTGACCTTGACATCTATTTAGTTATTTAATATTCATCCAAAGCCTACATATGCTTGGCACCTTACAGTAAGTATAAGCACGCTAGACAAATGGCAGTTATGGATCAGGAAGCAGAAAATGTCAAGCTGGCCCCTGTTGGGTAGTTTTCCCCCTCCGGAAAGCCTTTTGCTATGCTGAAGATATTAACAGTTCAATATATTATTGGGAGCAATGTTTCCTCCTTTGAATTCAGTGTATAAGCCTTAAATAAATTAAACTACATGGTCGATGGGCTCTGCCATTCATTGCATTACCGAATATTTCTTCTCCTCCTTGCCAGAGAAGTGTCGTACAAGTCGAGATTATTAATACTAATAGAATCATTGGATTTTGAGAACTGAAAGGATCCTCGGAGATCAACACAGTCCAATCCTCTCATAAGTCAAATGGAGAAGCCGAGGCTTAGAGAGGTAATGTGCTTTGCCTTGGGCCCCATAACCGGTGGGAGGATGGTTAGGAAGCAAATCGAGGTCCTCTGATTCCATTTCAAGTTCATGGTGCCATTTTTTACCTCTGATAAGATAAATGTGAAGGCCTCTCTATCTTGATGAGTCTAGAAAATATTGTCTTGAAATAGTGGGCAGTAGTAGTGTCCGAGCTCCAGCCTCACATAAAAGGTTGGCTTCTGAGCGTGGCTCGCGCACACCTGTGGCCATAGAATCTTGACTTTCCCAGGACCAGCCAGCTCCAGATCGTGGGTCTGAGTGCTTGGCTTGGTCAAAGACAAGTTTCCTCTATGAGAAAACATCAAAGCTGTTTGGAATATGTTCCCCGTAGCCAACCAACCCCCTCTGCGACTACTTCTCCTTCGGAAAGGGAGTGAGCACTTCCAGAATTCATACTTAACTGCCTCTGAAGTGTCACTCAAGAGGGCTCCATTCCCCCGGTTACTGAAGTTTCTAATGCACAGGTTCTGCACAAGGAGTCCCCCATCAACGTACAGTCAGTGTGCCTGGGCTCCCCACCCCCAGATCCTGATTTAAGAGATGGAATAGGAGCCCCGGGCATGTGAAGCATGAGCAGCACAGGTGATTCTGAAGTGTCCTCTGTTTGAGAATCATTGGTCTGACGCAAAAGCAATGACATTCAATCTGGGACTGACATGGTGAATCAAGTTTTGTGCGTGGGCATCAGTCTGTGTTTGAGGAAGACTTTCATTGAGCTGATGATATCTCCAGTTTTAGCCAGAACTGCTGTTGGACATGAATTCCATTACCTTGTCAGTGTAGGCTGAGAGAGATACAAAAAAAGGATGTGGAAGCCTGATTGCTCGGCACTCATCCAGCCTCTTGAAAAATCATTGTGTCTTTTACTGCCCCCTCGTGGAATATTTTGGACATGAGCACAGGAAATTCACCCTGTTCAAAATTCCAACGCTCCTTTACAGGAAGATTAAGGGACTGGTGGCATAGTGGTTGTGTGAGGCTGCTAACCAAGTACAAGGTCAGTCAGCAGTTCAACCCACCAGCCACCCCATGGGAGAAAGATGAGGCTTTCTACTCCTGTAGAGATTTACAGTCTTGGAAACCCACTGGGGCCCTTCTGCCTTATACTACTAGGTCGCGATTCTGACTCTGTGGCAGTGAGTTTATAGGAAGACACTCTATTAAGACGTGAAAAATGGTCTTAAAAGAGCTTTCTGTGTGGTACTGTGAAGGGAAGATCTAAACCACCCCGGGTGGCAACGGTCACGCTCAGTTTTCATGTCCACGTGAAATGCATTGCGAGACTCCTCCCCACTCTGCTGAGCAGCCACCAGTGGGTTTCCTCTCCCGGTCCGCACAAAACATATGGCTGAATATGAATGCCTGGGAAGATTAGGGACACCCATTCTTTACCTTTCGTTGGTGTTATTTTCCATTAGGAAAATATATATATCTATATTTATGGGATATATATATATATAACCAGCAAGTGTCGTTAAACACCTAGATTTTCAAAGAAACAAAAAAAACAAAACAAACTCACTGCCGTGAAGTCTATTTCAACTCAAAGCTACCCTACAGGACAGGGTGGGCCTGCACTGGCCCTGTGGGTTTCCAAGACTGTCACTCTTGATGAGAGTAGAAAGTCTTGTCTTTCTCTCTCTCTCTCTCTCTCTCTCTCTCTCTCTCTCTCTCTCTCTCTCGGAGCAGCTGGTGGGTTTCGAAACGCTGACCTTGTGATTGATAGCCCAACACATAACTACACCACTACAGGGATCCTCAATTTTTAGAAAGAGAGTGGAATTGAAAAACAACAGACAACCTGGATTCTAGTCCCAATGTAGTTAGGTGGTTTCTGACGGGGTGACCCGGAGAAGTCCCCTGATGTCCTGTGCCTTGTGGTGCTGTCCTATAAAATAAAGGGGTCGGGCACAGAGGGCCCTGGTGGTAGCCAACTATCAAGCCTTGCACAGTGATTTATCACAACTGAAGCATGCAAGTTACAAGCATGCAAGTGACATGCATCATGGGAAGGTCCACCCTGGGGGCAGGGTGGGGCTAGTGAGAGGGGGAGATTTGGGCTGGAGATTTATAGAGCCCTTGGGAAAGTTGGCTGGGCCTTTTGGAGAAGCCAGCGAAAATATTTTGA